ACTTTGATTGATAATGCTGAATGAATAATCAAGGAACCCTATTTTAATAAGTGAAGTTTAATGTTTCTTGAGCTTAATCATTTTTATAGTTCTTACTTGAATTCAAGGCCTGAGAGCCAAAGAGCTTGTTAGTTCTATCACCTCAGATAGATATCTTTTCTACTTAGCTTTACTCTTTTCCATTTTAAGAACACTGGGAAAAATTCCAAAAGTGCATTTTCAAAAGGCCAATTTCAACCAAAAGCTCAAATTGGTGCTAATCGAGTTTAGAAATATAATTCTTGGCATCCATAGAACAAAGCGCTCTTGTTTAACCTCTACAGCTAGATATAATTGTCCCCACGAGAAAGTCTGTTTCTATGCTGCACTTCATTGAATCTGTTCCCTCAGCACCAAACTGTAAGATGATATTCATACCAACATGCTCACATCTGCGCTGAGAAGCAAGGTCTGTCATAGGCTCTGGCATTATCAGCTGCTGCTAAAGTCATTTATTTGTAAAACTATAATCATAGGGCTTTCTCTGCATGCATGCCATTAGCATTTCTGTGGCCCAAATAATTATAGAGATGAAGTAATTTCATGGGCTTGAGATCTACTGCATTGAAAGTGAAGCTCAGCCACTGGATGTTTTTTGGTACCTGTTAGGTCCATGGGACCCTTGTTTGTCCAGCCTCATCTTGGCCTCCCAGCCCTTTGCCCATCTCTCTTGATATACCAGGAATGATCTAGACACTGTCTGGAGATTTTCTGGCAGTTTATTGGTGTTTGTATGAATTATTTGCTTGTTTCACTTTTTGTCATTTGAAAGATTTCCAGATGCCGTGGTAGGAAAAAAAAGTGAGTTTTCATTAAAAACAAAAAAGACATATATTTGGGGGGATATTTTATACACTTTACTTGGAACCACACTTCAGAGACTTGAATGGCTGGCCACTAAATTTCTCTAGAACATCTACAATTTTTAAAAAGAATATGATTAAATTGCTTAAGATAGTCTGTTTTTCATGATTACTGGTAAGTGCTAGCTTACCCCAAGGTTTACAAACATCAGTTACTGGGAATACTGATTTTCACTGATCTTTCACTGTGGCTATGTTCACAGAAAGTAAGGAACACTTCCCAGTTAATGCATTCAAAAAAAAAAAAAAAGGTGTCTCAGCAAGTTAAAAGTACATGTGTTTGAAGACATATTTCTCTGATGGAAGCTATGTATCTCTCTACCTGAAAGTTGTTTTTGGTGGAAGACTCAGAGTATATAAAGTAAATTTAGGTATGGAGTTCTTGGGTGGAAAGTTCTGAGAATAATTGTGCTATTGTGTTTCACCCTCAAAGCTTGGATAAGGATGATAGGGACAGGATGTGTCATCTAAAAGTTGAACTAGCAAAAGCCTACATGCAAGGAAGAGATTGGCTGCCTATAGGAGCAACCCAAGAAATTGCATAGGTGAGACTGAGATGTTTGGGGAATACCCAGTGTTCTAATAAGCAATTTTTTAAAAATGTAAGTCAGGGACAGAATATGATTATAATTGAGAAAAATGACCAAATCAATTAGCTTTTCTAAACATCACGTTTGATCAGTATGTTAACAAAAAGAAGACACTAAATATCATATCATTATCTTGGCATGTTTGTCCAGCACCACTAGGAAAAATACTGAATCTGATGAATGGAAACTTCCAGTGACCAGAGAAAGGTATTCAGTTATAGGGCAGGAGTGTTCTTTTAATCAGGTTTCACATGGCCTAGATGAAATATCCCTCAGGCTCTCTCTCTGCTGTGATCTGATTTTGTGCCCGTGAGTGAACACTCTAGTTTCTAATCTAGATCCTGGGTATCCTGAAAATGTGAAAGGGATACCTACCCTAGGTCTGACCTATAAAAGCCTCTCACTGGGGATGAGTACACTGGCATGCCTGCTTATGTACCAGCCTTTTGGAAATTCTTTGGTATGTTAGCCTTAGTGGATCCAAACAATTCTGTGTGTTCCAACCAAGCAAATGCCCTGACTTCTAAAGCTGAGAACCAACTCCTGGGGAAGGGAGCAACTAGCCTCTTGGAGAGGTCTCCAAACTATCAGTAATGGCCCAGTCAGATCTTTGCCTACTCTGAGGCCATGGAGATGTTCTTCTGTGTTGTCTTCTCTGTCTTGTTTTATTTTTCACTTTTAGATCTGCAATCTATCTGGAATTAATTTTTGTTATGGCAGATACAGGGGTAGAGATATATTTTTCTCTCATGTAAATATCTATTTTACCCAATTGCCCCATTTCTATTGTTCAAGAATTGTATGTAACAATGACAATTTTTATCTCATGTCCTTTCTTTTGTCCTTATTGTAGGATTTGATATATAAAGGTGGAATTCTACATTTCATTCAAAGAATATAATTTTCTCTTCAGCCACAGGGGAAAGTTAAATAATGAAAGTGGTTCTGGCTTTGCATCGTATTAATCAGGATACAAGCTCAGCTGCAATAACAAAGATCTAAATATAACAGTGGGTTGAGCAACACAGAAGTTTGTCTCTCATCAAAAATGCAAGAGTAGGAGTCCAGGGCTAATTAGCTGGCATGATGGCATCACAAGTCCAGGATCCTTCTACTTTCTCTATATTATTCAAAATATGACGACCATATTCTCATTCCAACCAGCATTAAAGAAAAAAAATAAGAAGTTAAGTCACGGCCGGGCGCGGTGGCTCAAGCCTGTAATCCCAGCTGCTCGGGAGGCTGAGGCAGGAGAATTGCCTGAACCCAGGAGGCAGAGGTTGCGGTGAGCCAAGATCGCACCATTGCACTCCAGCCTGGGTAACAGGAGCGAAACTCCGTCTCAAAAAAAAAAAAAAAAAAAAAGACACTAAATCGCTTCATGGTAATAGTAACCTAGAAGTTGAATGCAATACTGCCATTTATGTCCCATTGGTCAGAACTTTGAACATGGTCACATCCAGCTGCAAAGAAGGCCGAGAAATGCAGCTTTTCATCATGTGGTCCTATGCCAGCTGAGGTTCAGGAATGTGTTACTAAAATAAAAGAGGGTGAATAATTACGGGTGGACAGTTAGTAATTTCTAGTAGTAGTGTGAATACTCTTGACTGCCATCATAGATTTATTCTCAGTCTTCTCAGTCTGATGCAGGCAAACTTAGATACTGATTGCCGAAATGTAGATCTCTATTTGGGTGGTAATCATTACTTGACCCTCTTTAATAGGTTAGTGATCCTTCAGTAGCCTAGAAGGTCTTCCTATGTCAGACAGTTGATGTCATGTCTGCTTTAGGATCCTTTTATCAGAGACCATTTGATTGGAAGAGATTATGATAATTGCTCTTATGAGTAAGACCTAGAGAGCTGGATGATACCTTCATGATCACCCTGAAAGATGGTAGCAGAGCTGAAACTGGAATACACCGTTTTCTTTTTCCATCAGATGCCCTGCCCACCACATTATTTTCCCAGTGGCAACTATCACAATACATTTACATTTTCTTTATCAGTCACTCAATTTGAAGACACTGAGTACTCACCATAAGCCCAGAATTGTAGGAGGTGCTAGAGGGCATAATCCATAAGTGGAAAGATAAGCACTTTTCACATGAATAGTTTGAGAAAAAAACACTTTTTATTTACAATATAATATGAAATCCACTCCCAAACACACTGTGCACTGCACAGTTTTTTTTTCCTACAGTTAGTCTGAGAGGTGGGGTTGATGGCCAGGGGTAGTGAATATGTACCATTCATTTTTAAGAAAACAATTTGTTAGCCAGGTGCGGTGGCTCACGCCTATAATCCCAGCACTTTGGGAGGCTGAGGCGGGTGGACCACGAGGTCAAGAGATCTAGACCATCCTGGTCAACAAGGTGAAACCCCGTCTCTACTAATAATACAAAAATTAGCTGGGCATGGTGTTGCATGCCTGTAGTCCCAGCTACTCAGGAGGCTGAGGCAGGAGAATTGCTTGAACCCAGGAGGTAGAGGTTGCAGTGAGCCGAGATCGTGCCATTGCACTCCAGTCTGGGTAACAACAGCGAAACTCCGTCTCAAAAAAAAAGAAAAAAAAAAGAAAACAATTTGTTGATGAAAACATTATTTGGTGGGAAAAAAAAGAAAACAATTTATATTTTCTAAATATTATTCCCTAATTAGTTAACTAAATGCTATAAAGACTATTTTATATGTAAGTACATATATATTCAGTCATACCAAGAAGAGAATTACTTTAGGATCCAGAATATCTTTAGATTTTAATCTACATTCATTTGTTTTTTTCCTCTGAATCTAATTAGCTGAAACCTTAGTTTTGAAGATAGATATAGTCAAGTGATTTGTTCAGCATTCCTTAGGTTTTTGTCTCAAGTGTAAATATGACAAATGATTCCTTTCATCAGTGACCCCTGATTACTGTAAAGATCAATTTCAAACTCCTTAGCCTAGTATGCCATATGCCGGACCTTTCATAATCATATTCTGTTTACCTGTCCCGTCCCTCCCCTCACCTCCCACTCCAGTTTCCTCACACATACCACACTCCAGCCATCCTGAGCTACTGACAACTCCCCAGTGCCATCAGGTGCTCCCTCACCTCAGTCTCTGCACACTTGCTCTTCCTTCTTTCTGCCTACTCCCTGCCTTGCCAGCACTCAGCCGTCTCCTATTCACCCATGAGGTCCCAACTAAGACATTACCTCCTCCAGGAAGTCTTTCTTGACGTTCCTGAAGACTGGATTGAGTACTCCTTCTCTGCTGTTTTAGTACCCTACCTTTTGCCCATTTCGGCTGTCATCAGTTTCTGCTGTTAACTGCCTGTTTGTCTTTAGGTCTCTTAAACAAAACCAAAAGTTCCCAGAGTTCCCAAATACAATATAAGCAGGGCAGGGCCTGTGTTTTCACAGCTGTGCTCTGGGAGCTTAATCCAATAAATATTTTTTGAATGAATGAATGAATAAATGAATAATGAGTCATTTATTATTTGTGGCTTTCTTATATTTCCTCAGAATTACAACAGACCCCCCGTGATGGCATTAGCCATCCCCATTGCAGTGAAATTCCTCCACAGAGGCAACAAAGAACTGTGCAGGAATATGTCCAACTACCTGTCTCTGGCCGCAATTACCAAGGCAGATCTCCTGGCGGATCACACGGAAGTTATAGTAAAGAGCATACTCCAAGGTATGGTGCAAAGGTTGAGCTGGGGAACATGTTTTAGGAGGCATTTTAAAGTATTTTCATGAAGCATTTTTCGTTCATGGGAAGCAAGACCTAGTGTATTAGAAGCAAGTTAATTTCTCTGCTTTGCCGTTAGCTGACTTGTGAACATGCAAAAGGTTACTTAATCTGGTTGAGCCTGTGTCCCTTCCCAAGGCAGATGAATTACTTAGACTCATTAAGAGAATTGTAAGCTTTCTTCCAAATCTGTCTTTCTCAATTTGAAGAACTGTATTTTCTATGCTTCTGGTCACCTGTTCAACTACCAAATGTGGAGAGCTTATCTCTATGTATTGAGTGAAAAATGTCACTCAGTTGGAGATGAAAAACCTCTCTTCATTTGGTTCCAAAAGCAAGAAATGTCTTTTGTTAGATAAAATACATCAGAAAATATGTAATAACTTCTTGAATGTGAATGTGATTTGGGAATGATAACAAACATTAAAAAGTCAAGCAGTACACCTCTGTTAATTGTTACATTTTAATGAAAGAGGTGCTCAAATTAGTTCATGCAAAATAGTTTCCTTGTCTTATTTTCTTTTGTTTCAGATCAATCAGAAAACGTGTTTTTTGAATTTGGGGTCAAGGAACAATATATGTTACTAATTAATATGTATCAAAATGTCCCCAATTCTCATTAATAAAGATGCATGAGGTCCATGAGTATCTCAGTCCACAGTTTACAGACATAACCCACCACATGATCAGGTTGATCGTCAACCCTCTATAAGGTGCTCAAAGTTCAAATAATTCTTAGGGTCCCCAGTGGTGTCCTATGTGTGCTCTCTTCCCAAGGTAACCAGACCAATCCCCAAGCCCATGCTGCTATTCTGTCCATGCTTCTTGGCATAACATGGTGGGGTGCTGTCCTCTTTCACCATGCTGAGCCCAGCAGACCCTAAGGCCACTGCCATGCAGGTCCCAGGAATGGACTCTACTCCTGGGAACTCCATGCTGCCCTGCCAGTGATGGCAGTCTTTGTGCTGAGCCACCTGAAGCTTCAGGAACTACCAAGTCCTTAGCCCAGTAATTCAGTGTGGCAGCCTGTGGCAGGATGGGAAAGAACACTAGCCTTTCTCCTTAGTGTTACACCTTTGTAGAGAGGACCCAGAGCAGTGCCAAACTAAGTTGCCATGTTTGCAGTAAAATAGATGTTTTTTTAGTGGAATAGAATAAAGAACCCAGAAGTAAAGCTGCACACCTAGAACCATCTGATTTTTGACAAATTCAACAGAAATAAGCAATGGGGGAAGGACTCCCCATTCAATAAGAGGTGCTAGGGTAACTGGCTATCTATATGCAGATAAAACTGGACAACTATCACCATATACAAAAATTACCTCAAGATGGATTAAAGACTTAAATGTAAGACCTCAAACAATAAAAGTCCTCAAAGAAAACCTAGGAAATACCCTTCTTGACATCAGCCTTGGCCAGAAATTTATGGCTAAGTCCTTAAAAGCAATTACGACAAAACCAAAAATTGACAAGTGGGACCTAATTGAACTAGAGAGCTTCTAGACAGCAAAAGGAACTATCAACAGAGTAAACCGACAACCTACGGAATGGGAGAAAATTTTTGCAAACGACGCACCCAACAAAGGTCTAATATCCAGAATCTATAAGACATTTAAGCAATGTAACAAGCAAGAAACAAACCCATTATAAAGTGCAAATCAAAAAATTAGCAAGATCTCAATTAACAACCTAATAGCATAACTAAAAGAACTAAAGAACCAAGAGAAAACCTACTTCAAAGCTAGCAGAAGACAAGAAACAACCCAAATCAGAGCTGAACTGAAGGAGATTAAGACACAAAAAAATTTTAAAAGATCAGCAAATCCAGGAGCTAGCTAGACTAATCAGGAAGATAACAGAGAAGATCCAAATAAACACAATCAGAAACGACAAGGAGATGTTACTATTGACTACACAGAAGCACAATCATCAAAAGATATTATGAACACCTCTGTACACATAAACTAGAAAATCTAGGAGAAATTAATAAATTCTTGGGCACATACATGTAGATTCACAGCTGAATTCTACCAGATGTACAAAGAAGAGCTGGTACCATTCCTGATGAAACTATTCCAAAAAGTTAAGGGGGATGGACTCCTCCCTAACTAATTCTATAAGACCAGCATCATCTTGATACCAAAACCTGGCGGAGACACAACATAAAAAATAAATAAAGATTAAAAAAAAAAAAAAACCAACTCCAGGCCAATATCCTTGAACACTGATGCAAAAATCCTCAACAAAATACTAGCAAAACAAAGCCAGCAGCTTATCCACCACAATCAAGTAGGCTTTATTCCTGGGACGCAAGGTTGGTTGAACATATGCAAATCAATAAATGTGATTTATCATATAAACAGAACTAAAGACAAAAACCAATAGATGCAAAAAAGGCTTTTGATAAAGTTCAACACCTTTCATGTTACAAATTCCCAATAATCTAGGTATTGAAGAGCATACCTCAAAATCGTAGGACCCATCAATGGCAAACCCACAGACAACATCATACTGAATGGGCAAAAGCTGGAAACATTACCACTGAAAACTGCACAAGACAAGGACATCCTCTTCCACCACTCCTATTCAACATAGTATTGGAAGTCCTGGCCAGAGCAATCATAAAAAAAAGGGAATAAAGCACATCCAAATAGAAAAAGAGAACATCAAACTATCCCTATTTGCAGACGACATGCTCCTATATCTAGAAAACCCCATAGTCTCAGCCCCAAAGCTTCTTAAGCTGATAAACAACTTCAGCAAAGTCTCAGGATGCGAAAATCAACGTACAAAAATCACTAGTATATCTTCACACCACCTGTAGCCATGCTGAGAGCCAAATCAGGAATACAATCCCATTTACAAGTGCCACACACACACAGATAAAATACCTAGGAATACAGTTCACCAGGGAGTTAGTTGAAAGATCTCTATAAGAAGAACTACAAAACACTCCTCAAAGAAGTCAGAGATGACACAAACAAATGTAAAAATATTCTATACTCATGTATAGGAAGAAACAGTATCATTAAAATGGCCATTCTGCCCAAATCAATTTATAAATTCAATACTATTCTTATTAAACCACCAATGACATTCATCACAGAAATAAAAAAAAAATTTAATTCATATGGAAACAAAAAAGAGCCTGAATAGCCAATGCAGTCCTAAGCAAATAGAACAAACCTGGAGGCATTACACTAACTTCAAACTGACTTCAAACAGGAATGCAGTAAGCAAAACAGCATGGCACTAGTACAAAAACATACACATAGACCTATAGAACAGAATAGAGAACTCAGAAATAAGGCTATGCACCTACAACTATCTGATCTCTGAAAAAGCTGACAAAAACAAGCAATGGGGAAAGGACTACCTATTCAATAAATGGTGCTGGGATAACTGGCTAGCCATATGCAGATTAAAACTGGACCCCATCTTTATACCACATAAAAAATTAACTTAAGATTGATTAAAGACTTAGACGTAAAAGCCCAAACTATAAAAACCCTGGAAGACAACCTACGTAGTACCATTCTGGACATAGAAATGGACAAAAACTTCATGAAGAAGATACCAAAAGCAATTGCAACAAAAGCAAAAATTGACAAATAGGATCTAATTAAACTAAAGAGCTTCTGCACAGCAAAAGCAACTATCAACAGAGTGAACAAACAATCTAGAGGATGGGAGGAGTTATTTGCAAACTATGCATCTGACAAAGGTCTAATATCCAAGATCTATTAGAAACTTAAAGAAATTCATAAGAAAAAACAAAACCCATTACAAAGTGAGCAAAGGACATGAAAAGATACATTTCAAAAGAAGACATACATGCAGCCAACAATCATGAAAAAGCTCAACATTTCTGATCATTAGAGAAATGCAAATCAAAACCACAATGCAATACCATCTCACACCAGTGTATTATTAAAAAATTAAAAAAGAACAGATGTTGGCAAGGCTGTGGGGAAAAAGGAATGCTTATACACTGTTGGTGGTGGCTGATCCTCAAAGACCTAAAAACAATACTACCATTGAGCTCAGCAATTTTATTACTGGGTATATAACCAAAGAAATAGAAATTGTTCTATCATAAAGACACATGCACACATACTAGCAAAGACATGGAATCAACCTAAATGCCCATCAGTCATAGACTGGCTAAAGAAAATGTGATACGTATACACCATGGAAAACTATGCAGCCATACAAAAGAACAAGATCATGTCCTATGCAGGAATATGGATGGAGCCAGAGGCCATTAGCCTTAGCAAGCTAATACAGGAACAGAGAACCAAATACCGCATGTTGTCGCTTATAAGTGGGAGCTAAATTATGACACACAGAGGAAAACAAAAGATACTGGGGCATATTTGAAGGTGAAGGGTGAGAGGAGGGAGAGGATCAGGAAAAATAACTAATGGATACTGGGCTTAATACCTGGGTGACAAAACCCCCATGGCACAAGTTTACCTATATAAAAAAAACTGCCCCTGTACCCCCTAACTTAAAGGAAAAAAAAAAGTGGGTAAAGGACGTGAACAGATACTTGTCAAAAGAAGACATAAAAGCAGCCAACAAATATATGACAAAATGCTCCACATCACTAAACATCAGAGAAATGCAAATCAAAATCTCAGTGAGAGACCATCTCACACCAGTCAGGATGGCTATTACTAAAAATTCAAAAAACAACAGATGTTGGCAAGGCTGCAGAGAAAAGAGAATGCTTATACGCTATTTGTGGGAATGTACATTAGTTCAGCCACTGTGGAAAGCAGTTTGGAGATTTCTCAAAGAAGTTCAAATAGAACTACTATTTGACCCAGCACTTCCATTACTGGGTATGTTTACGCAAAGGAAAATAAATCCTTCTACCAAAAAGACACATGCGCTCATATCTTCGGTGCAACACTATTCACAATAGCAAAGACATGGAATTAAGCTAGGTACCCATCAACAGTGGACTGAATGAAGAAAGTGTGGTACGTATATACCAAGGGATACTGTGCTGCCATAAATAAGAACAAAATCATATCCTTTCCAGCAACATGGATGCAGCTAGAGGCCATATCTCAAGCAAATTAATGTAGATACCAAATACCAAATGTTCTCACTTCTGCATGGGAACTAATCATTGTGTACATGTGGATGTAAAGATGGGAACCATAGACACTGGGGGAACTAAAAGAGAGGGAAGAAAGAGAGGGGCAAGGATTGAAAAACTACTTATTGGGTACAGTGCTAATTACCTGTGTGATGGGTTCAATTGTACCCCAAACCTCAGCATCATGCAATATACCCTTGTAACAAACCTGCACGTGTATCCTTGACTCTAAATGATATTTGAAAAAATAAAATAAAATAGATTATTGTTTTATCTAAAACTCTCTTTCCTTCCCCTGGGCTCAACTATTTACCCAGGAGTTGGGGTTGCTAACAAACTAATACTTTAATTCTCAAAGTGCCTATTGCCTTCTAAGAATTAAAGTTTTGTTCCTAACTTAAGCTGATTGTACCAGACTTCCTAAGGAGGGTTCTTGGTACCATCCCAAGACTTCTGACCAGCCACCCCAATGGTCTGCCAGGTATGTCTGAACTCCAGCATGACAGTGGAAGTTTATCACTCAACCTGGGGTTCCCTCTAAAGATTTGTTGTTAAGAATACTAGGCAGTATTTTCATTTCCAGTTTCCTTTGGCTCCAGGATTAAATCTCCAATTTCACTTTATATGTAATATTAAATTTGCTGAAAGCACAGAAAAGTAATTACGTTTTTTTTCAACACCTTGGCTATATTTCTGAAACATATTTTACAGGAATTTCAAACACTTATACACACCACATATTGTAAATCCATGATAGTCAGACTTGCTAGTAACAGATTTATAAAAAAATAAAAAATAAAGAATTAGCCCTTTATTGCTGTCAAGAGCTTAGCTCATCTCTTTGGGTTTTTTTAAAAATGATTTTTCAATGACAATGAAATATTTGAAACACAAAGTATGCTTTCTAATTTCACTGCAAGCATTTGAAATAAACAAATAATTTGCTTTATTTGATCGGGCACTATGAAAATTATAAAATGAATGATAATTTGACATATAAAAGGCTGGGGCTCTGTATTTCAGGGTGTTGAGTTTTAAAACTGATGTGATCGTAAAACTCAATTGTCACTCACATGAGCCCATCAAACTTTAAGTTGCAAAGCAGAAGGGATCTTGCTGTCTCTGATTAGCAAGTTTTCTGCTCTGCAAATCTTTGTCTTATATCCCCTACCAAATAGCCTGAGGAATCATCATGGGATTTCTTTTTTCATTACCTATTATTTTTCTCCTCTTTAGATCTTCTTTGCCTTACGGCATACTAATCCTTATTTTCTCATATTTCTACTTCTACAAAATACATTGAATGGTAATACCTTCAATGATGATCATAATAATTATAATAACTATAGTGGCCAAAATTTACTGCATGCACTTCTAATGCCAGATATTGTATTAAGCCATTTATACCCATTATATCATTCAATACCCACAAGAACCTCAGAAAAGAAGTCCTATTATTATCCAATTTTACAAGTTAGTAATAGTTTAGGTATCAGAAACTAACATATAAATGGCTTGATGATGAGAAAGAAGAGAAGGAGAAGGAAGAGGAGGAGAGGGAGGAGCAACAACAACTCCTCCTTGGCACACATGCCTGCAAAGTTCATGAGTATACCAGACTTCCCAGATGGTTGATTCAGGGTTCAATGGTGTCCCAAAAGTTAATTCTCAGCTCTGCTTCCTCATGATGAATTTCGCTTTCATGCTCAGTGTGGGCCTTTGCAGCTTCCAGCTCACATCATCACGAATACCAATTAAACAAAAGAAAGTCCACATCCAGTCTCTTTTTTCTCTTTGACCTGACACAGGCCACATGAACATTTCTCAATCAATCCATCATTATTGCCAGAGGATACTGTACTTCAGTTGGTCAGGCTTAGGTCATGAGCCACCCTCAAAGCAGTGGAAAGGAGTTGACTGCAGCAAAGTCTCATGGATGGGGAGTAGGAGGAGTAGATCCCCAAAAGAAGCCCAGGGCTGTTACCAACAGTAGGTGAATGAATAATGGGGAATGAAAGAACACAAATGTCCAATATATCAATTTGTAAGTAAGCAAGCTGAAGCTTAGAGAAGTTAAAAACAAGATTCAAACCCTGACCATTTCACTGTAAAGTCTGTTTTCACAATGCAATATTAGCACCACCAAATACTAGTTGTATTTTTGTTTTCTCGGCCTCTGTTTCCTCATGTGGACATATAGATGTCAAGACAATGACATGAGATAATGCCAAAACATAGCTGGCTTTCAGTAAATATTAGCTGAAGTAGTGATGATGATAATCATACTTGCCTTCCTATATTTGAATCCCTTTATTACCAGGGAACTCAATTCACCTGTGACAACCCACTTTATCTCTGGACAAAACCGAGTACTAGATATTTCTTCCTTTTGTTGAATTAGAAGTTCTCTTCTTGTGGCCTCCCTCTTTTGACCAAGGTCCTCTCCTTGGGTAATAAACCCTCGTTCTTCTTTCACATGACAAACTATCAAAAACTAGCTACAACTTTCATATTTCACCACTCCTTCCCTTTGCAGTTCCCTCTTTTCCTCCTTAGGCATAACATTCACCGTTTCCCTCTCAGTTTGCTCATTCAGCAGATGATGACTTGCTTTTGCATCCATTTGTAAGATGTACCAGGACCCCTGCTCTGCTTGGCTGCCCTCCCTGCATGTCCTCTGATTTGCTTGCCTATAAGGACTATAATGGATTTATCCTCCCTATCGAAAAGCTATATTTTCCTTAATATAACCTAAAATCAAATTCACTTTTTTGTCAATCACATATTCACATCTTTGGTTTCCCTTGATTTATATTTGAAATCTCCAAAATTTTAAATAAAAGTTGTCTTAGTATATTAAGCAATTTCTGCCACACTCTGTGTTTAGCAGGTTTTTTGTCTTATGTAAGTACTTTAATTTTTTACACTGTCCTCTTATGAGATTCAGCCCATTGCTTTGGCATGCAAAGATCTTATTGGATGTTTTTTTCATCTCAGTGTATCTGCAGCTTTTCCAAAGTTCCTGTCATCTGTAAATTTTATGAGCAGAGTCACTCTGGTCTTCATTTTAAAACACTGATTAAAATGTTGACCAGATGGGGCCAGGAGACTCTTATTCCATAGCAGGGGTATCTGCCCCTTAGACTTGTTTGCTATTATTTCCTTGATCATATTTTTTAACAAATGTATTGTGTGCATCCATTTGCATCCTATGCCTGATTTCAAACCAAATGCCTCTTTTGTGCTTATGAGTGAATCATAAGAGACTTTGTCCAAACGGCTATGTATTTATCCCTGAAAGTAAATATTTCAATAGTTCTAAGCCAATTTTTACTACTTCTTATTCTTAATGGTTATATATAAGTAATGTTTACTTTTATATTGTTTAAGTATACATTTAATTTTTTCAAATTGTTTAGAGTTATTTTGTCTGTTTTGTATTCTCTGAATTTTCCCAGTAAGTGGTCATTGTAAAGGTTTTTCCTCTTGGAGGAAGGATTGAAGGTATAATTGGAATGTTATCTTGATTCATACTTGAAAGTTAAGAGGATATAAAACTTGAATATCTCTATACCAAATAAGACAGTTGTGTCAGTATTTTAAAATCAACTCACACACACAAAAAGTAAAATATAAAAACCCCTACCCATTTAGTTTTACCAGCAAATTATAACAAATATACAAAGAACAGATCATTACAATCTCATCCAAACTTTCCCAGATAATTGAAACAGAAAAAAATTCTCCAGCTTATTCCACAGGGCTAGTATAGCCAATGACAATACCAGACAAGGACAGTATGAGAAATGAAAATACAGACTCATCTTAATTATGAATATAGATGCATAACTCATAAATAAAAGTGTTTAGCAAAATGACTCTAGCAGTGCTTAAAGTAAATAATAATTAACGTTTGCTGAGTGCTTACTATATACTAGGTACTGGCTTTTAAGACAAAATAAAACAAATTTCAGTAAAGCAGTAAAGTTGCTGGAAGTGAGATCAATTTAGAGAAACTAATACTAGTCATAATAAATTGAAAATGTAATATTTAAAATGTTATTTAAAGTAGAAAAATATACAATACCTACAGGAAAATGTAGCTTTTGATAATAAAATGATAAACGTTTATTGAAAGTAATTAAATAAGAAAATGGAGGAATATATCATGTTCGTGAATGGGAGAGCTTGATGTGGCAAAGATGTAAATTTTCAATAAATTTAGTGAAATTTTTGATAAAATGCCAACAGAAGTTTCCATGAAAGATGACAAGCTGATTTTTAAATTTACAAGATCAAGTGAAGCAGATACCCAAGACAGTTTCACAGAAGGAAAAGAAGGTGGGAGTTGTTGGCGGAGAAGAAGAGGCAGTTATTTCCCTACCAGATATCAAATATTATAAAATCATAGTAATCAAGACAGTGTAGCACGAGTGCAAGATAAGCAAATAACCCATAGAATAGAACAGAGAGGCAAGAAACAAATCCCTGCACGTATGGAAACTGAATATATGCTAGGGGAATATTGACAATAAAGAAGAATAGACTGTTCAATAAATGGTTCTGAGACAATCGTCCACATCACAACATGCATAAATTAATATTAGATGGAATACAGACCTAAATACATAAAACAAATCTAAGTCTCTTCTTTAGTAAAATTTAAAATAATCTCTCAGCAAGCAAGCAATAAAAAGGAACATCCTTATTCTGATAAAAGATATCTATTAATATTAAACAACTAAACTAAAATTACACTTATTAGGGAAATATTAATGTTTCTCTTTGAATTAAAAAATAAGATAAGGATGTCATTTGGTGTATTAGTCCATTTTCATGCTGCTGATAAAGGCATACCTGAGACTGGGCAATTTACAAAAGAAAGGTTTATTGGACTCACAGTTCCATGTGATTAAGGAGGCTTCACAATCATGGCAGAAGGTGAAAGGCACTTCTTACCTGGTGGTGGCAAGAAAGAATGAGGAGGTTGTGAAAGCTGAAACCCCATATAAAACCATCAAATCTCATGAGACTTGAAGAAAACCAACCCCATGATTCAAGTGTCTCCTACTGGGTCCCTCCCACAGCACGTGGGAATTATGGGAGTACAATTCAAGATGAGATTTGGGTGGGGATTCAGAGCCAAACCATATCACTTGGGCAATTTGTTTTCTACTTATATTATATCAGGGATAAAATTTGATGTTTTGTAACATCAGAACCTTTTTAGAAGGGAAAGTTGCTTTCCAGTGCTCCTGAATAAGTTTCCAGACTCGTTCTTTTCCATATGAAAGTAGTCTGTAATGTCTTTTCAGTACTGATAAATAAAAGCACAACCAATGCTTAGTGCAGCACAAGTTAGCATATCTTTCCTTCAAGAAGCTGAAAATATTATTGAAGACAATACAACTGCAATGGATTATATGAGGCCTTATAGGGAAGCCCTTTTAAAATTTTTATTTGAAACTCCATGATGCAATGAACTCCATTGCTATTGAATCTAAAAGTAGTAATGTCCCCTTTTCTGCATTTATGAATCAGCGATCATAATAAAGAAATATACCTCTCCATCAATATGCCTTTTACATGGTCCTCTGGCACAAGTCACAAAATGACCTCAAATGATTTGAAACTTAAGTAGAAAGTCTTTGGAAAGAAAATATAACATTATCTCAGCAAGAGTCCAGATTCCTTTTTTACTTGCTGGCAATGACCTGGAAAATACTGTCCAGTTAATTATGATAAATTCAGCTCATTTTTTCTCTTTGTGAGACAACATTCAAACCACTGG